AAACTATTCAGTAAATAACATAATATTCTTTTCGACAATTTCCTTTATTAAGATACTTAATTTTGTGAATTACTTTCGCAAGGTGAGTGAATTTAATGAATTACTTTCATGACACTGCCAAGCTTAGTCAGGTGTGAATTAGGATAGGTTAAGAATAATTACAATGATTATACGTTGAATTACCATGTTTTATCTACTTATGTTTACAAATTGTACGTACGAATGCATATTCTGCGACATGTTGGGATCAAACTCATTTGTACCGGCGTAGCCACGTTAGCATACGTTACATTAAACATGAAATTACACGAACTCTTAGGTATGTCTAATAATTACTGACAGGTGATCGATTTTTTTATTAGCAGCAAACTGTCCTGTGGAACCATAAATTATAACAGGTGCAACAAAAATGTAAAATTCTAATTTAGTTTAAATTTAACTAAAGCTCCAAAAAGCCATGTGTCACTTAATGGTAAACTTATCAAAAGAGTGATTTCGTACTATCGTTTCTGAAAGTTTAAAAAATGAGTTTCACGTAGATAACAGAGAGGACTATAGTGGAGCTGGTTTCTCAAGAGTGGGACTGCAACACGAGAGGCTCCAACCACATCTTTACGTCATACTTGCCAACATTTCTATCAGTTTGAATTTGACGGCTGTTTTTTGAATGAATCTCTTGAAAACTGACAAAGTTTAACATTCATGTAAGAAGAAAATATTGTTCAAAATATCGATTTCTACAATACATTTAACACTAGAACTATCCAGCGTTTAACATGATTAATACGTAATCCTTATAAAAATTGTAACAATAGATTTTTTTCGATTTCTTTATATACTGATTATAGTATTGAAGTGAAACCTATTTATTTTTAATATCATTTTGGATGTTCAACACTTCTAAGATATCAATACTCGCGAAATAAGAAAACTGAAACCCGCCATTTTGACGGATACAACAGCTCCAGCGTTAAGAATCATTGAAGTCAATAACCCTTCGACTTTTCCACAGTTTACTTATTGAATATATCGAAATAAAAATATTATCAAACAGATTAGAACAGTTGATTAGAATTATACCTCGAGAACATATTTCAAAGTCCTTGAAATCGATCGCCTATGTTTTGAATAATTGCTTCTGACTTACATAGAGATTTCTTTTTTGCACACATGTATTTATCTATTTCTTGTTACTTTTTTTTTAATTTCGCGAACTTTTGACCTGTATACGTAATTGGAAAATACTTTAGCCTGAAAATGTATCTATGCATTTCAATGTATTTTTCGATGTGCATACTTTTGTTAAATCAAGTATATAAATATGTCTTTATACAAATACGAATTTTAACTTCGTTGCTTACATACAGCTGTTTACTAAATTTGCATGTATAATCAAAATACATTATGTAAAAGCATGTGTATTTAGTAAATTACGTTTACCATAGTAGACGCACAAATTTAAAAGAAAACATTCCATTGCGAATTTTGCGAACAAAGTTCAAAGGATGAGCCACTCACAAGCCCAACCGATTGTCCACATTCTGAACTTTTTTAGATTTCAGTGGCAAAGCATTAATTGATTGCTGTTTAACTGTTTGTGTCTGAAATAAATTCCCTTAACTTTTTAACTAAACATTTTCCAAACGACTCGAAACGAATTCAATTAACATAGCGAATACTGAGTAACGATACATTTCAGTATTGCGTGGTTCGTATTAGTACGATCATTGCGGTTTGATGCAGCACAATTATTTAACAAATGAATACGAAAACAAAGAGCTATTAAGAAATGAAACTAAACTTCGATGACGTATTAGCTCGTCATCCCCAGTTAAGAGGATAATAATTGTTTTAATATCACAAAATGACCGAAGCTTTTTTGAACACGTAGTGATATCAATCTTTTTTCTGATATCTAAACGATTAACGTCCATATTTTAACACGATGAGCACAAGTTAAGCTTGAGCAAACAGTACTTTGTCATTTCCATCGATTGTGTTGTATTATTGATCACTATTTATGTAACAAAATAATTGACTGCAACAAACACATACGATTTCCTTCACCGATTTCTCTAGTTTTTATTCTGTGAATTTAATCGATTTGACAAATCAACGATTCAGATATCAATCGTCTTAACGGTTTTTTCGTCATATTAACGAAACATGGTGATCTTCGTCTCGTTTAGTTATTCTTCCATAAAATAAACATAAAAGTTATATCAGCAAGAACGATACGCAGCTTCTCTTACATGTTGACGTACATTACCTAAATAAATATACGAACCTGCACATAGAAGACTGTGAATAAAGAATGAAGGGGGAGAGTAAACCTACTTGTATGTGACTAATTAAACGATAGGTCAAGGTTCAAGAATTTTCTACCCTCGTGTCTGATTGTTGTTTTAAAATTACATTTTATTTTACTGAAATTATAACGCATCTTACACAGAAAGGATTAAAGTTAAAATGGCAACCAGAAGAAAGCAAATTAAGACATCGTTAATTTACCTTTGTTTGAATACATTTCATTTTTATGTAAATACACTATTTCAAGATATGAGATAATTTCTTTTCCCGTAATCTGATTTTTTTAGTATTGCGATGGTCCTCAAGGTTTAGATAGCTAAAAGATATCTAGGTCAGATATGACTCAAAAATGTATTCTTTGCTCTGATGCATTGTATGCTAAAAATGATTTTTATTATATTTTTATTTCGCTAATATTACAGTGCATATGTAGAATGCTCCATATTTTGTAGACGCTTATGGAAACCAATTCGCATAATAATGGTATTCTTTTCAAATAACGTCATCTAAAACAAAGTGCAGTTTGTAAAGCATAACAACTTAAAAGGCTAATTGAAAAGTCAATTGAAGCCGCAATCATTTATTTTTTGTTCTAATACATTATATATTTTTAACACTAATTTGTGAACCTACTATGCGAACATTGATCGAGGTCAACTGATTTTCCATTTTCATAAATTATCCTTACTGAAGGATCGCAAATCACGATCATTAACATACACGGCAGACAATTATTTTTGCAATTTCTTCCAATTATTACGTGTCCCATACGAATTGAAAACTTAGGAACTCCAAATTAGTTATTTTTCTTGCGAGCATTAAAATATTTTCAAATAACTTTCCAAGATTTTCAAGGCTTTACTTCGGTTAAATACATTTGCTGTAGTAATCTATGACAATACGAGAATATTCAGTATCTATACTTATAATTAAAATTACAAAAATAGAATACTCTTACAGATCACTACGCATAGATCAGTTTTCATCCAGAATAAAAGAAAAAGCACCGATTTCATTTTAGTTAAAACGAGAATCGTCATTCGCATGCTGTTTCTACAATTACGACAAGCCTCTTGCTTACGAAACCTTGTACGAAGACACAACAATGGTTTCTTCACTATACTCGTATTCAACATTTCAAAATACTATAAGTAATGTCTAATACAAGTTTCGTGAACACTTTAAAATATAAGATCCATAATTGAATAAGCTTCAACATACAAGAAATAATATTTATCTGATCCGATAATAAATCGTATCGACTCGTACAAAATGTTCCACATCGGAAATCAGAAAAAGAAACGAGATAAAGCTAATATATTCTGATATGAATGTTAATATAATAATATATTAATATTCCTTACATTAATATTCCCGATAGAAACTTTACCTAACGGAGAAATCAATCTCCGTCGCATACTTATGATCAAAACGTGTTTGCATTGCTGACTATAAATAAACTCGAGATCTACATAATACACGTCAATGGAGAATAATAATTTGTCATCTTCCGATATTTTATACTGCGATAATCGGGACGGTTCCCGACATTCCTTAAAGTAATGTATAACATCCATCTAAACAAGTTTCCTGTCTCTAAAAAAACTATCGATCGATCCTCGCGTACTATTCAGGTAATGGTATAGTACTTGTATGATAATCGCTACGATAACATGTTCTTACAAAGGTAAACTAAAATACGAACTTGACATTTAATCAAGTAAGAAAGCTCTTCGCAATTCAAAAATAATGTAAGCAAATCGATGATGCGATTCTGCAGAAAATTTGCACTAGAACAGTGCACGCGAGCGAAACGAAAACTGCTGGAAATCGATTATCGGTTTCTTCTCTGCTCGGTAATAAATCCGAGAAACAGGTGGACACGCGTTATAAAATAATCATTTAATTCGTGGTAGCCTTTCGTTACATATAAGAACAGTGGTCGGCAAATCGTCAGGGA